TTTTATAATAATATTATAAAATTTTTTGAGATTTTGATAATATTCAATCTAATTATTTCTTTAGAACGTATTGTAGTGTATATAAATAATAAGAACAATAGATACATAGGAAAAATTATTTATTATTTATTTATTATTGATTACAAAATAAAATAGTTTTCGTAAGTTTACTTCTTATTTTATTGTCATCTATTAAACTATTTCCTTTATAATATAATCGCACATTACGATAATAAAAACTTATAATTTTAATTAAATTTATATGATTTGACTCTACATTGTTATCGTACATATGTTCATAATAGGAGTGTAGTAAGCTTCAATAAATTCTTATAAAAACAGGAAATGTATAATGGCCATTTGAAGCAAAAACACTGGTGATAACGTGTGTATGATAGATGCATTACTTTATTCAAGCAGGTAACATATAGAACGTTTTTGGCCTTAGATTAGGCCTTTATCAATATATATATAAATATGATGTTCTTGAATTAAAACTTATACAAGTCACATGATTACAATATAGAAATATTAAAGTAACTGAGCACTCGGTTACTTTAAATGGCCATTATACATTTCCTGTTTTTATATGTTCATAATATTCACTAAATATTGATGAACAAACATTCTTCATAATTTTTATAATTAACTTCTGTAATATATTTGTTTGCACTAATTGATTCGCTTTCTTTAAAAGTCGTATCTCTGCTTCGGCAATTTTGCAAATATGTATAACATCGGTCGAAGATATTGTTAGAGCTTGTTTTACATTGCTATAATTTTTTATATTTACAAAATTACCAGACGAAGTATCTGACTGTATCGCTCTTAAACATATTTTACATTGCACAGTGCTTTTTATTTTTTGGACTACAAAACCAGCAATATATTCAATAATATCTGATATGTACAATGATAGATCTTTAGAATAACTTGCACTTGTAATATAATAATTATGGTCGGTATTTTCATGAAACGGTGCAAAATTTTCTGTTAGCAGATTATCAATTGTCTTCATTTTGTTTCCTTTCGAAGTACTTACTGCTAAAATGATTGTAGGAACTTGTTCAATGCAATTAGCTTGCAAAGAGCCGGTAACGCCAGTATGTATTAATAATTTTTTATAAGCAGCTTGAAAAAGTTTTGCAATAGGATTATTATTATGTTCTCCCATACTTCTGATGGCACTAAAAAAAACCTCAAGGTGGTCTTGAGAAAGTTTGTATGCCAGTAAATATTTTAATTTTTTGATTGGACTGTCAACATATTGATTATATATGTGCATAAGTGATCGTAAACTAATTATAAATCCTACAAAACCAGTTTTTCTTTGACTTAAGTGCAATGGTTCTTTGCATGGTCCGCATTTTAAAGAAATTATGTAGTTAATTACTTCATTGATTTTGTTAAATATAATATCTTTATTATATTGTTGTACACCAGCTTTAAAACTCTTGGCTAACAGATTTCTATTATTCAATATATCAAAAGCATCGTTCATGAAACTAACAAATTGTTCCGTTGCTTCACAATTTTCAAAATTTGGAGAATAGTTTGTTTCTCTTAAATATTGCAAGGCTTTTGCTACACTGAAACTAAACGTTTGGGCAGCGAGCTTCACTTTCATTTTTTCTTTAAACCAGTTAATATGCCGCTTTGTTATTTTAGTTCCTAAATGTAATCCTTCTTTTTCTTGTATATCTACCAAATACCGAATGTAAATCTTAAATTTTTTTTATAAGCCTTCTGTTTTTCTGTTGCAATATTTTAATTTGTTTGTTTTTTTTTGCTATTGTTGTGTTAATGATCTCTACATAGTTTTTTTTCTCACTTATTACATTACATTCCTCAAAATCACCAACATAAACTTTTCGCTTCTTTCTTAAAGGCTTCTCCAGTGATACATTTTCTTCGTTAGCACTAACAGTATGTATTAAGCTTTCATCTTCACATTTATTTTTTAAGCTAAAGAAAAGTTATA